TTTTGAGCTCACAAGTAATGTTTTCGAATAGGTCTCGAAGCCATGAGCGCATAGGCGAAAGCCGTTTGCGAGTCCAAGTTATAATGGTATAGTTACAGACGTTTGAAGTTGTGAACTATAGATTGTGGGAATTATGTAATTCTCACATGTGGGTTAAAGGTTAAGGGAGTTTAATAAAAGAGGGAGGGACCAATTAGAAAGGGGGAGTTTTCTGAAGAAAAAAAGGAAGGAGGGGTCTGATTTTTTTGACCCGTTTTAGGGCGTTTTCGACCCATAAAACCACAAACTTGACCCATTTGTATCTCCTTCATCCGATCTCCGTTTTGGATGATCTTGGTGTCTATGGAAAGCTCTTGACGAGCCCTACAACTCTGTAGTGTTAGATTTTCCATTTTCTTATCCATTTTTCCAGTTCGAGGCAGCAAAGTCCCATGGGTTTTCCGGCAGTTTTGTCATTTTTGCGGCGATTCCGGCAACCATTTCCTTCAAGTGTATGAAACTTCATCTACTCTTCATAATCTTCAAATTGGTATGCTTAGTTTGTGCTTTCGTATTCATTTTAGAGTTGGGTGTGTAGAACCTTAGAAATCCGGTTTTCACCGGTGAATTTGGGCGGTTTCCGGTTAGAATTTGTCGTCGGCCTAGTTGTGAGAAGTGTTTCCCTAGCTGAGCTCTAGCTACCACATAAATTTGATCTTATTTAGTTAATATTGAAAATTTGGGGTTTCTAAACCCTCCACCTTGACTAACCCGCGTGTGGCGGTGCGTGGGACCGTCCACGAGTGTTGTCTAAGTACCAAATACCTTTTAGTGACCTTGTGAACCTATGTCTAGCTTGGTTTCCTGAAATTCAATTGTTTGGTGTGGTAATCAAATTGGACCGCCACTTATTTATGTGATTGATGACAATCCGATCGTTGGTTTGTTGTACAATTTTGTGAACACTCTAGTTGTCAGTTGTTGGACCTTTGAGAACTTACAGATCGAAAATCCGATGTGCGGATCTTCCGGATTGAATAACCTTAGGCTGTTGACCTTAATGGACCTAACTTATCGACGGTTGATGTTCTAGTCAACGTGCTATACTCTAGGGTGTCGCTTATCTCTAGTTTGTTGTTGAGGCTTGATGGAGCTTAGTTGGCTCATCACGATGACGTGTCGTTTCCAGTTGACGTGTCTCGATATATGTATTAGCGGCACCATATTGAGTTATACGTGTTTATTAAATGTACTTTCTATTGAATTTTTATCTTTATTTTTTTTAGCATCGATCTATGTTTATTAATTGTGAATTGACTGTAGCTTGGAAACGTTTCTGAAATGTGGTTAGATATGTATGATTAGTATGATGTATGATTGTTTTTATGACGATGTGAACCCAAAATCTTATGAGAAGTTTATGTAGAACTTTTATGCTTGTATGATAAGATAGTGGTCATGAGAAGTTGATAGTGCAAGTGATTACGATGTAAATCATAACGGATGAGATAAGGGTACGTGGGTTGTGTGTTGATCTTACTACACCATGTAGTAGTTGTACATTGATGGTCCTGCTTGGTATATCCTCATTGGGGGACCATACGCATTCTATAAGTGATCATGTTTGGTATATCCGCATTGGGTGATCACTACCTACCTGATTATCTTGACCCTGCTTGGTTAATCCGCATTGGGGGGTCACTAGTGGTCCTGCTTGGTTAATCCGCATTGGAAGACCATACTATATATGGATCGCGCTTGGTTAATCCGCGTTGGGCGATCCTTATGGTCATGTATGCTTAAGAGTGATCATGCTTGGTTAATCCGCATTGGGTGATCACTTTCTAACAGTTGTAGGAGTGACTCTGCTTGGTTAATTCACATTGGGGGGGCCACTTCCTATTTGGTTACTTATGTAGGCTTTGGCCGAACCGCGTCCCTCTAGCCCTAGTTTTTAATGCACTTATGAACGATGGTTTTTGGGAATCTTGGTTGGTTGAATGGGAAAAGCCGTTGGATGTTGGGGGACTCCTATGGAGTTTTCAATGACTTGATTATGATTCCATAAAGCATGATTCTATACTTGATGTTTATAAATTGTGATCAATGGTATGCTTTTATTGAATATCTCATACTTGAATTATTGTCACTCACCCGAGCTCCGTAGCTTATCCTAGTTCCGTTTGGCCAGTGCACCATTTCTATGATGTAGGCATTGATTTTACCTATAACATGTCTGAGTAGATTGTGAGAAACAACTTGATATTTTGGTTCCGTTGAGTGGTCTAGAACCCGATGTTGTTGGATTCCGTTGAGTGGTACCGGAATCCTTACTTTCGATAATTCCCATAAGATTAGTCTAGAACCCTAGATTCGAGTGAATGGGAATTACCCAAAATGGATCTTGTGAATACAAATTAGAATTACCATGTTATTATTCATAACCCAAGTAGGGAATTATGTAGAGTTCTTTAATTAAATTCGTGAAATGATATGCTATCTCACTGATTGATTAACATAATTAAATATTAATATTGTGCTTTGTGATTCCTTGATATGTTACAAGCTATGGATTGAGATATAATGTTGGAAACATAGTGATTGGTATGATGTAGTGAAATGTGATTTAACTTGTGTATTGGAAATGGTTGTGTCATGTGATTGAAATTCTTATTGAATTGCTTGGGTGATGTGAGGTCTGGTAATAGACCGATAACCCATTGTGATGGGGATTTGTTGCTCGATATTGTTTCGTTTCGTTTAGTCTTCGTGAATTGACTAACTTGAATCATGTCTTGTTCCTTCGAGCCGTAGTTATGCTTCTTGGACTTTCGTTCAGTTCTGTTGAATGGTCTAAAACTGAGTTCTGCTTGGATTCCGTTGAGTGATGGTTCGGAATCGTATCCTGATTTGGATTTCGTTGAGTGATGGTCCGGAATCCCTTCTACTCTGCTATTCCGTTGAGTGATGGTTCGGAATCGTATCCTGATTTGGATTCCATTGAGTGATGGTCCGGAGTCCCCTTTGGTGCTTTGATTCTGTTGGATGGTCCAAAATCCCCTTTTCCAGAAATGTAGTCTTCAGCCAAACTGTGTCGCTCTAGCCCTGCATTTCGGTCTATGATATGTGATATTGATTGATGTGATTGTGAATGATGTTGGTTGTGATTGTTGTCATTATGATTAGACTTGTTGACCAATGTGGCTAGAGAATAACTTTGTGCTTCGTTGACCGTTCTTTGAGATGTTGCATACTATGATTTGCGGTGATATGTGAAACATGATGATTTATGTGATGGATGAAGTGGAAATGTTAATCGTCATGTGGGATTGTTATGTTGGATATCATTGTATTTGTTATGATTAGACTTGTTGATAAATATGGCTAGAAAATATGTTTGTTTCGTCGTTGTTCTTTGATATATCGCATAATACGCATTGTGGTATATTGTTGGGACAAAACGTTTTATGTGATGAATATTCGATTGTAGTGAAACAATGAACTACGAATGACTTGATCCCTATTGAGGGTACGTAGGCAGTCTAACGAGGAGGTTAGATGCAGCCATAAAATATACAAAAATTTCTATGAGATTTGGATCTTGAATTATGCTATGTACATATGTCGGAGGCGGGGTAGGTTGAGATACGGGTATTTGGTGATGTCATGTGTCGATCCTGGACGTATATCGGGATCGGGGCGTGACAAGATTGGTTAAAAATCCTATCTAAAATTAAAACTATTTTTTTTTAATTATTTTATTAAAAATAATAATAATATTTTAATACGAATTGACTAGACTTTGTGCCAACACATTTTTTATGGGTGGAGATACATTTGGCCAATTCCTTTTTATTAGGGTCAATCACTATTCATTTGAGTGAATTAAGGGCTGGTTTGGTATTGCTGTGCTTTGAAAAAAAACTACTGTGAGAATAAGCGGATGTGCTGTGAGAATAAGCGGCTGTGAAATAAATCAACAGAGTGTTTGGTAAACTTTTTTGTAAAAGTGCTTTTGGAAAAAAAAAAAAAAGCAGTCTGATAGTGGGTATTTTCATTAAAGGAGCACTATAGCTCCGTGTGCTTTGAAAAAAAGCCAGTTTTCCAAAGCTGCAAATAGCAGCTTCAGCTTTTTTCTTTGATTTCAGCTTATTCTCACAGCAGCTTCCAAAACAAGCCTTTTTTTTCAGTTTACCAAACACCTAAAATCCTCACAACTTTTTTTTATGGATGCTTTTTTTTAAGCACCTCACTCTCAAACCAACCTAAATGGCTGGATGCTAGCGCATTTTTAGGGGTGGACTTGGTCTCAACTTATGATCAACTGCAATTTTGCCAAAAGCAAAAAGATTTGGTATTTATAAAAACAAAAATAAATTAATTAATTGTTATATTTTGTGTTAAAAACCAATGATCGAAAAGTGAATTATTGAGAATGAATTACGTGCATTTATGGGACAAATAGTTTTTGCGTTGGCTTATAAATTAGTGGGGTTGCGTTTGTATCGTCTATTGATTTTAAAGTGAAATATTAATTTTTTTTTCATACTTTGACTGAAATAATTAACAGTCTGACAAATTTAATTAAATTGTAGTCCGATAAGATTTGGACGGTTTGGTGACCAAAAACATAAAGGTTTGGTGGTGATAGTTAATGGATGGAAAATATTCTGTTTCATTCCACGCATTCCCATGCAGTCCATTTTCATATAAAGATTTAGAGAAATTATATTCACATTCTTTAAATTATTTCTTTCATACATTTTTAATATTTTAATATTTTCTACATACCACTAACACTTCATAGAAGAATATTAAAAAATTAAAAGGAGATGAGGGAAGTAATTTTTTTTTTAAATTTTTTTTTATCAAAATGGGAGAAGTAATTTGAGGTGTGTGAATATAATATATTAAAAACTTTATTTGCAGAGAAATGGGTGCACGCCACGTGACTTGTATCACTTCCATTGACTTTGGCTAGGGTTTGTATAAAACAAGCTCAGTGGCTAGGTTTGTATTTCCCTACAAAATTAGTATAGCTACAGCCTCCAGATGAAGAAAGGAAAAGAAGCAGACGCAATAGCAATGCTGGAGTGGTACTTCTGGTTGGCCAAGTGGCGGCTCCAACTTCTTGGGAGGGAATGGAACTTCCTCGACGCGGGCTCTGTGGCTGTCATTTTTGGTTTGCATTGCCTTGCTCTTCTAGCTCCATTCCACTTCAACTGGAGTGCAGTTTGGTTGGCCGTCGCACTGAATACCATCTCCGGTGTGGGTGTGACTCTATCTTACCATAGAAATCTCTCCCACAAAAGTTTCAAGCTTCCCAAGTGGCTCGAATACTCTTTTGCCTATTGCGCGCTTCTCGCACTTCAGGTTTGTTCTAAACTCCCTCGCTCTCAGATAGAGCCACTAATGCATTGTAAGACACATATATACATTAGCGGCTTACTATCAACTCATTTTATGCGGACGACGCATGCTAACACTCAAATTTTAATTTGACCTAAAAATCTTTATCTTAATTTGTTGTAAGGTTTAGTAGAAAACCTATTTATGGTTTTGGTTTGCAGGGGAGTCCGCTTGAATGGGTGAGCACTCACAGGATGCACCACCAGTTTACTGATACATGGAACGACCCTCATAGCCCCATTGTTAAAGGATTGTGGTTTAGTCATATTGGATGGATCCTCGACTATCGTTCTCGATTTGGAAGTGTATGCGTTCTCTTTAATATCTCTCCCATACAAACACACCTCTCGTGTACAAATAAGCAATTGTAGTTTATATATGATGACGTTCATGCTTAAAATAAATATTATTTGATTAAGCCCTTAATTATACTACAGTTCTATATTTTATATATATTATATATATATATGACCCGTGATGCATACACAAAAGTTGATCACCACTTGTATTAAAGGATGGTCAGCAAACATGATCACTTTTGTGTCTTTAAGAAACGTTGCAATTTTTTTATAGGAGAAATTAAGTTCTCATCCTTTATTTTGCTATTTCATTGATTAAAGAGAGTTTTAACGAAAAGCCCACGGTACTACTCATTTTAACGAAAAATCACATTTTTACACTAAAAAGTCAATCGTTTTACTATTCATTTTACAATTTATTTTGTCCTTATCGTTAAAACTCAAAGTTTTCAAGTTATTTTCATTAGTTTTTCTTTGATTAAAACCTTATTTCTTTTCAATTTTTTATCAAGGTCCTTGGGTATTAATAACATCATTAATTATTTCAATAAAAAATTATTTTTACCTAAAATTATTCATTTAGTATTAAAAATGTTACAATTAGTATATTTATATTTATGGTTAAATTTTTTATCATATATTTTTATTTTTAGTTTGTACCCATTTTTAATTTGCAAACCTTTTTTTAATTTGTACCAATTTCTTTTTAGTTTTAATTTGTACCCATATATTAATTTCTTTTTGTGCCCATATTTTTTAAAGTTTTATTTGTATTTGTGCCCTTGTGTTTACCGTCACGTGACATTGTATAATTAATCAATGATAGAAAAATTACATATGGTATATTTATGTTTTATGGCTAAACTTTGTATCATATATTCATACTTTTAGTTTGTACCCACTTTTAATTTGCAACCTTTTTTTTTTTAATTTGTAGTATTTTATTTTTAGTTTTAATTTGTACCCATGTATTAATTTCTTTTTGCGCCTATATTTTTTAAAATTTCATTTGTACTCATAATTTTTCAATCTTTTATTTGTACCCTAATTTATTTATAATGTACCCATTCTTCTTTATTAATGTACCACTTTGTTATATGTGAAATGTACCAATTTTTTTAACACTATGGATACATTCTTTTGCCATTTATTATTTCTTATTGTTACATAGTTTTTATCCATTATATTCAATTAAAATGTTTGAATTTTTTTATTGTAGCTGTTTCTAATAGTATTATAATGAGGTATTTTAAATTTATAGGATTAGAAATCTCATAAAATATCAAACAATTAATGTCAAAACTATAAAAATATAAATATTAATAGTAATATAATGAGGTGTACAAAGTCAAGGGACTTTGATCAAATTTTGAATATCATTAAGGTTTTAATCAAAGAGTGTTAAAGACTAGGGACCGCATCCAAGGTATCATTTTTTATATATAGTTGTTAGTAAAAAGAAAAATCAAATAACATATCAATTTCAAAATTTCGCAGTATGAAGGACGACTAGACAACGTTGGAGATTTAAAAAAGCAGCCCTACTATGTATTTCTTCATTGCACATACCCCTTTCACTCATTGGCTCTTGGAGTTCTGCTGTATGCCATAGGAGGACTACCATTTCTCGTTTGGGGCATGGTAAACTTGCCTAGAAGTATTGTTTTCCATTTGGTGAATTGCTTCCTTATTAAATCCAGAATACAACTATAGAAAAATGAAATTTCCTTGCAATTTTCAGGGTGTGAGAGTTGTGTATCAGTTTCACGTTACGTTTTCAATAAACTCGATTTGTCATAAATGGGGAAAGCAAGTATGGCATACTGGAGATTCATCAAGAAACAACTGGTACGTATTTTTACCTTCTAATTTTCCAATTTTCATGGTTAATTTAACGTATAATAAATCAAGTAATGAGAGTTTGAATTGTTTAATTAATTAAATATTAGGTTACTTGGTTTGCTAGCGCACGGAGAAGGTTGGCATAACAATCACCATGCATTTGAATACTCAGCTCGACAAGGTCTGGAATGGTGGCAGATTGATACTACTTGGTACTTGATAAGATTTCTTCAGGCTGTTGGTTTGGCAACTGAGGTGAAGCTCCCAACCGAGACTCAGAAGAAACGTAAAGCTTTGTGCAACAAAGTCAGCAAGGAGAAGCTGGAAACCAACGTAGGCAGCAATGAAATCTCCAGAGAGCACTACTGAAACAATTTTCTAGAGACTCAAATTTAAACTATGACTTGAATATTGTTGCTAGCTATTTCTTATATGACTTGAGTTTTTCTATGCTATGCAATGAAGTGATTTGGTATAATTTTGACTTCTTTATATGCCATGGCTGAATCTTTTAATTTTTTCTCTCTTTTCCGTATTTGTAATTTTTTTTATATAACAATATATTTACAATAAGGGTCAGGGAACTTGGAATATAAGTCACACATTAAACTAGTCATACTCGCCATTCACTAGTGTTAAACTTAAAACTTTATACTTAAAGCAGCCCCAACGGTAACCCAAAAGCCTAGACAATTGGGTTGATTGCCCCAACCCCAAAAACCCCCGTCCAGCGGTCCATAAAATGGAAGGCTATTGCTGGGCTCCACCAAGCCCATTGGGCTGTCTAGCTAACTCATGCCAGGCCATCATGTGCTTCACTACAATGCCCAACGACTCTCTTTAGCTGCCTTTCTTAGCCGTTGGATTTCCAACGGTCTTCTCATCTGGATCGTTGGATTTCCAACGACAACATAATTTTGAAAATTATATATTGTACCACTTGACACAATTTGGTGCATTTGAATTAAAAAAAATTTCTGGATGTCAACGGCTAGAATTAATCCAAAGAAAAAAAAATGTAAATATACAAAAAACTTACGAACAAACTTTTTTTGAACAAACGATTGTATCTATGCAAATGTGGTGTGGAGTGGGCTAAGCCTTACAATGGGTTTGCCATAATAATGTGGTTCAACTTCGCCTTTGGTGAGAATTGAACCTAAGACCTCTCACTTACAAGTGAAGAGGAATACCATTATATCGCAGGACTAAGTGGTAACAGCACACTTAATAAACTTACAAAGTTCAACCATCTTCTTCATTCGCCTTTTATCATTAATTAAACGATTTGAGGTGTTTTCTTGTGGGATGGACGAATTTGGTGGTTAGCCATATTCAGAAGGAAGGTGGGGATTAGATTTAGGACATTTTATTTGAGGAGAGATTGTTGTTTGTACCATACTTGACCAATCCCGAAACTACCGAGCACCGGTCAACGTTATACCGTCAAGGACCCAGAAGAGTTTCCCTCAAACCAGAAGGCCAATCACAGAGCGAGACGTGTCGACATCAGAAGCCAATCATAGCGCGACACGTGTCAACATAAGAAGCCAATCACAACACGACATGTGTCAATGTCAGAACAAGGCTAGAAACTATCTTCTATAAAAGGAGATCATTCTCCCACAATATTGGCTAATGTCATTTGTACTAAATCATTCACTTGTACTCACTAAAGGAGAGCTTGAACCTATGTACTTGTGTAAACCCTTCACAATTAATAAGAACTCCTCTACTATGTGGACGTAGCCAATCTGGGTGAATTACGTACATCTTGTGTTTGCTTCCCTGTCTCTATACATTTACATACTTATCCACACTAGTGACCGGAGCAATCTAGCGAAGGTCACAAACTTAACACTTTCTGTTGTACCAAAGTCCTCACTGATTTTGTGCATCAACATTTGGCGCCGTCTGTGGGAACGACACTTATTCCCACTCTCTTCAGCTTTGCCAAGCTGGTTTCCACCATTCGTACACTCTTTTTTGACCAGGCATCCCTCTCCAACATAGGGAGCGAAGGAAGCCACAACACACAGAATGACACCCATCTTGCACCTAGTGCGAAGCAACGAAAGAAGGAAGGAAAAAGGGTTGCTCTTCAAGCTAAAGTCGATGAGCTAGAAACTCAGAACAATAAGATAGCAATGAAGAAATAGGTCATCCAAGAGCAGTATGAGAAGTTCTTTGAGACACTCCACGAAACTAGGCGTACTCAAACACGCGAGCTCGTTGCTCCTGTGGACATCAACCATCATTTGGATACCCCCCAACACGGAGGGTCACCTCCCTTCGACATGGGTATCCCTGATAAAGAGCGAGCTAATCATCAAAACATTGATCAACATGAGACTTCTCTCAACCCAGATACTTCGACCCGAAGCAGGAGAAGTTGAGGAAGACACCTTCTTGCATAAGGGTTGGAAGGATCGAAAGCTGTTTATCATGACTGCCGAGACTTCCTAAAGAAATGTCGAGAGGATCCTCTCCATATATGCTAGAAGATCAATGACCCAAGGGTTTCTAAAAGACTCGGTCCCCTCCTACGACCCAAGCCAGTTGCCAATCTAGGGAAGGAACAACAGGTCCTAGAGGAACATGAAGGTACATGGGACTCTGAGGTATTTCGACAAACTCGCCCTAGAAGTCAGTACGGCGAGTCCAAGAAAAAACCACATGCCTTTGCTCAAACTCTCCTACTTCCAAGAGGCAATGGAAACTTACTAAAGAAAATTCCAGTGATACATGACTCTACTCAGGACCCCCTTGTCCTACAGCTCCTTGAAGAAGTAAACAAGTTGAAGGCCGAACGTCAGGCTGAGATACCTGACTGGAACCAACCCAGGTCTAGCCCTATCACAAGGAGGATCTTCGACACCCCCTTCAATCGAAGACAAAACAAAAGCTTGGTTTATAACTCTATACTGGAAGGGAGGACCCAATTGAACACATTAACCTCTTTGAGTCCACCATGGCATATCAGATGAACATCGATGAAGAACGATGTATTCTCTTCCCCTCCACCCTCTCTGGCGGAGCTCTAAACTGGTATTGCTGTCTTCCACTTGAGACAGTAGACTCATTTGAGGAACTGAGGAAACTGTTTGTCTCTCAACACATTTTCCAGACCGATCGCTTGCATTCTACAGATGACTTGTACACTATTCGCCAAAAGCCGAACGAGTCACTACGAGAGTATGCCGGTCGCTTCAGCCATGAGTATTCTCGCTGCGCTAAGGCAGATGACAAGATCGCCCTCAAGGTCTACATGATTGTTTCTTCAAGTACATGATCAATGTCAACACTTGGAAGACTTACTCTGAGGTGATGGCACAGGCTTACAACCACGCCTCCGCCGAAGCAATGACATACCAAGGGAACCCCCATATGGTTAACCCCTATCAACAAGTGGGAAATGGAAGTCAAGTTCTACCAAGTGAGAAGATCTTGGCCATTCAGACACCCATTGCATCATCTCCTGCCTCATTTAGCTACTCGCTAAGTCACTAAACGTATATGTCTCTTGGTAAGAGGAATGATTTTTACTTTCAGCAATCCCATTACAATAAAAGGGATAAAAGTTTGTATTAAGACAACCAGGGGTGAACGTACCGTCGACTATTATAACTATGGGGCCAAGCCTCGCTCTTTCAAAGTGGAAGTCTAGGTATTGAAGGAAATACTATTATAAGAAGGCATACACATTACAAATGTTTTGACTCTCAACCGCTTAAGATCTTTTGTCACACAAGCCATTCGGCAAATATTTAAAGAAGAGGGAATTCAGACAACTTCTTCTGAGTATTTTACGTTCCTAACACTGGAACACTTGGTCTACGCTGACCTACCCTTATACTCCAACTCAGAGCTTCAACATGCGTACTTTGACACAAAGTATGTGATACTAAGTGTTACAACCAACATGGTTCACATATCAAAAGCATGGATCCCTTCATGCATAGCAAAACATTCATAAGTATCACTCATATCAATCAACATAAACATCATACATTCCAACATATTCATACATAAACATCATACATTCCAACACATCCATACATAAGCCAACTGTGCTTCGAAAGGGTTCAACATACTTTGTGTCTTCGACACTTGCTACAATGTGCCTCGACACCTTGCCCTTATTCTCACCAACCAGGTGATGAAATGTGAAGAATGAACTCATCTTCATGCCACCAACCAGGTGATGAAATGTACAACCCGTACTCTCTTTCATGCCACCAACCAGGTGATGAAATGTACAACCCGTACTCTAATATCATTTGGCAACTTGCCACTCATGCTACCAACCAGGTGAAAAAGGAACTCATCTTCATGCCACCAACTAGGTGAAGAAGGAACTCATCTTCATGCCACCAACCAGATGATGAAACATACCACCCGTACTCTCCTTCATGCCACCAACCAGGTGATGAAATGTACAACACGGACTCTAATATTATTTGGCAACTTGCCATTCATGCCACCAACCAGGTGAAGAAGGAACTCATCTTCATGCTACCAACTAGGTGATGAAATGTACAACCCGTACTCTCCTTCATGCCACCAACCAGATGATGAAATGTACAACCCGTACTCTAATATCATTTGGCAACTTGCCACTCATGCCACCAACCAGGTGAAGAAGGAACTCATCTTCATGCCACCAACCAGGTGATGAAATGTACAACCCGTACTCTCCTTTATGCCACCAACCAGGTGATGAAATGTGCAACCCGTACTCTAGTATCATTTGGCAACTTGTCACTCATGCCACCAACCAGGTGAAGAAGGAACTCATCTTCGTGCCATCAACCAGGTGATAAAATATACAACCCGTACTCTCCTTCATGCCACCAACCAGGTGAAGAAGGAACTCATCTTCGTGCCACCAACCAGGTGATGAAAGCAACTCACCATTCATTCCACCAACCAGAAGACGAGTGTTACAACTTTTACATGTGAACTCCTAGCATTCACAAATAATCAAAAACACTCATGTTTTACAACTCAACTAGGGGAGCACTTATGCCCAACAAGAGTTATAGTCACTAACAAAGTCTTATTGCAAGCCAACAACAACTTCAGTGCATGGCATATGAAGATTAAGCTATTCAGCCCTTTTGCATTTGCTTCAGACATTTCTCCTTTGTAACAATGCAAACACTACAAGGTGTGGCTTGCATCACAATCTCTTTCTCAACAGTGTGGAAGCAAAATTTGTATATGTTGTCATCAAAGGAGTTCAACCACAATTCTCAAAAGCTTCACACATTCTTGATCAAAACAGTGTGAAGCAAAACCAATCTATGGTACCAACAAGAGCTTCATCAATGGAGGGCAACCATAATTCTCAAAAACTTCACACACTTTTGATCAAGACAGTGTGAAGCAAAACCAATTTATGGTGCCAACAAGAGCTTTATCAAATGAGTTCAACCACAATTCTCAAAAGCTTCACACACTCTTGATCAAGATAGTGTGAAGCAAAACCAAT